CCCCCGAGGGTTTTGTGTAGGAGAGGAGGAGAGTGAGGGTGGAGGGGTAAGAGTGTTTAAAAGCAGAAGGCGTGTGGGGCGGGGGCCCCTGAGGTGTCTGTACACCTCAAAGAGAAGAATTAATACTTTGAGGCATCTACAGATGCCGCTAACTTGGCTTTGAGTAAACCCTTTGCAAAGCGAGACCTGCACAGAACGCAAACCCTAAACCCTAAACCCTAAAGTCTTGAAAAGAAGAGGGAATCGTATACCTGTCAGGCAAGGCTACGGTTTATGGTTTAGGTTTAGGGTTTAGGGTTTAGCGGACTTGCAAACATCACAAGAAATTCTCTCCTTGCCGTTGTCGGAGGTTTCCGAGCAGTAAACTGCAGCACAAAACCCCAAACCCTAAACCCTAAACCCTAAACCCTAGAAAAAGAAGAGGCCCCCTGTATACAGGTGTGGCGACCCTGGCGCCTGAACCCGCAGCCCTCCGCGCCAGAACCATGCCCTACCCCCTAAACCCTAAACCCTAAACCCTAAACCCTAAACCCTAAACCCTAAGCCCTAAACCCTAATGCAAAACCCTAAACCCTAAACCCTGACGGACTGGCTAGGCAGCAGGAGCAGATGAAGCAGAGATCGACAGGGTTATGATGACAGAAGCAAACGCCTGTGTTTGTTTTGTGGTGTATAGACACCGCAGCAATGGAGGGGCGTAGAGAGGGCGGAGGCAGGAACCAGAAGACAAGTAATTGTAATAAAGCTATATCCCCTCTTAAATTGTTTAAAGACTTATTCGTCTCAGGTGTAGATACACCCGAGGTAAAACATGAAGAAAACTGAGAGCAACGCCCATGCGTTATATCACACAACTGCTCCGGGATTGTCTGCAAAAAAACACACAAAAATTTCAAGGGTTTAGGGTTTAGGGTTTAGGGTTTAGGGTTTAGGGTTTTGACTTCCGCCAGGGCGGACTCCGTGCAGGTAGACTGCTGCACTGAAGACAGACTACTAAACCCTTAAACCCTAAACCCTAAACCCTAAAGCAGGCGCCGAAATTGCATTGAGGGTTGAGCGACAACGGATTAGGGTTTAGGGTTTAGAGTTTACGGATTAGGGTTTAGGGTTTAGGGTTGAAGACTCACCGAGCAATCGGGTAGCAGCGAGCAGCAGTCAATGGCTACTCCCTGAGACACAAAGCAAACCCCAAACCCTAAACCCTAAACCCTAAACCCTAAACCCTAAGCACAAAGCCCTATCCCGTAAGCCCAAAACCCTAAGCTTTAGCCCCTAAACCCTAACTTCAAAACCCTAACCTCTGAACCGTAGGCCCTAAGCCCTAGCTAGCCCCTAAACCCTAAACCCTAGCCCCTAAACCCTAAACCCTAAACCCTAAACCCTCAGGCTGACGAGTTTGTTAGCAGCAAATGCAGTATTTAAGAGCGGAATATACTGAGAAGCATAAAACCCTGATCTTGAGGTGTCTAGCAGCAGCACGCGGCTCTCCGCTTCAGGCCCTCCCCCCAGCCAACGATGCACGTCTGAGCACATAAACCCTACTAAACCCTAAACCCTAAACCCTAAACGACAAACCCTAAATAACAAACCCTAAACAACAAACCCTCGCCATATCGAAGGCGCCAGCCAGCAGCAGTAAATACGAAAACTGCACACGAGAAGGAAGGGTTTAGGGTTTAGTTAGGGTTTAGGGTATATTATTGAGGGTTTAGGGTTTACCTAGGGTTTAGGTTATATTCAGGGTTTAATGCTTATTGAGGGTTTAGGGTTTATCTACGGTTCATAGAGGGTTTAATTAGGGTTTAGGGTTTATTTAGGGTTTAAGGTTCATTTAGGGTTTAGGGTTTATTTAGGGTTTAGGGTTTAGTTAGGGTTTAGGGTTTAGTTAGGGTTTAGGGTTCATTTAGGGTTTAGGGTTTATTGAGGGTTTAGGGGTTTAGAGTTTTGCTTACAGCACAACGCCATCGATAGGGCCCCCGCCAGCAGCGACTCGCCCCTTCTGCAGCTGCTGCGCTGCTTAGCAGCAGCAGGAGCAGCAGCAGCAGCAGGAGCAGCAGCAGCAGCAGGAGCAGCAGCAGCAGGGGGATTTGCTGCTGCTGCTGCTCCGTCCACCTCCATTCTGCTTTCAGCAGCAGCTGCAGCGGGA